AATACATAATATTCAAACAAATCAGTGTTTAATACAGTCCACAGCTACAAGGGTACAACCCAACAACCTGAATTATCGAAGGAGAGTTTTAATAAATTCTATAACTACGTAACAAAAGTACAGTATTAACAATGTTGAGCCCGACATATCCAGACAATTTGCGTCTGTTGAATACGTAAACGTAATTCCTTTGCTGTATACATACATACACACATACATCCATTTTTTCTAAGGTGTTCCAAAACGTTCAGAAGGTTTTAAGAACGTAAAGATATATAAACATTTTAATTTTCGGTTTTTTCCGTTATAGTAACAGCTTACCCTGCGGGAAGTTAAGAAAATTGCAGAATAAATTAATAAACAATTTTTAAAGTAAATTATTAATATAAACAAATAGCATGTTGAAATAAATAAATCAATTCAATCAAGGAATTCAACTATTGTTTTATAACACGTTGGCTGTGAAAACAAATCATGTATGGTAATTATAATGTGATCAAGTATGTAAAATACTGTCAATTACATCCGATTATAGTCGATTTTAAGGTCACTTAGGCACATATGATTTTCGGATTCTAGAGATCAAAATAAGATACTTTGCTGAAGAAACTATACGTCTAAAATGAATTCTGATGTCCCGTGCATTGACCCAAAGATAAGAGTTAAATTTTGAAAAACCTCTGAGGGGGGGGCCTAAGGTGTGTACCACGGGCATGGGTAAATCGTCACATAGGCACATATGAATTTCGGATTCTACGGATCAAAATAAGATACTTTGCTGAAGACACCATACCTCTAAAATCAATTCTGATGCCCCGTGCATTGACTCAAAGATAAGAGTTAAATTTGAAAAAACCTTTCAGGGGGGGCCAGGGGTTGAACCACGGGCATGGGTGGATCAGCCTTCCAAAGTTAGTGGGGGTCGGTCATACATTTGGATGGATTGGGGGTCGGTCATACATTTGGTCTTTAAAAAAATCCATCGAGGTCAAAAGAGATTTTTTAGAATTTTAATCATTATTTTTGGGTCAAGTCAATGCACGGGACATACACCGACTTCGATACACCGACACATCCAGTAATCCGACACCCTATCGACCAAATTTTTGGAAGTTTTAATATTATTTCCAATCTATGTTAAAATTTTTTACTTTTCCACTATAATCCAGTAATCCGACATCCTCCGGTTTTTAATAGCGTATATACGTATTTAGGACATATAATATGTGTAATAACCTGGTAGTATGCTGCTAAACTAATTTTTTATTACAATAAATTCTATACAAGAATCTGATTGACAGTCCACTACAAGTCTTAACAACTATAGGTACATTTAATTAATTATCTATCAACTCACCGGTATAATAACTTTTAGTCCTCCTAAATTCACTCATAAAACCATACACAAAACTAGAATAAGTTCAAAACATTTGGGCTTTCAAAAAAATCATTGCAACAAAAAATTTTAACTAAAAAACTTTTTTGTTTCCAGTTTGTACGGCTACTGAACGAGACTTGGAAACAAAACTTATTACTCCGACACGGTAACATCACAATAACAGTTTGAAATAAAGTTATAATACACTGATAATGTCACTGAATTTAATTATTATTAAGCCCAAATTAATGTAATGTCAACCATTTCAATATAAAACATGTGCACTTGTACAACATTTAGTAACAAATGGTTGAGGTTATAAATGCATGCCTTGCCGCACGTGACAACAGGAATGAACTTGCAGACGAACAGATTCTTATAGGAATACCAATAGAATAATGTTGCAAAAATTTTGCAATAAGAATCAAACATAATTACCATTCTTGATATATAAAGATAAAAATTGGTAAAGAAGCAAACAACGTACCAGTATATGAAATGAATAAAATAAAAAAAATGCGTTCTTATAAATAAAATAGAAAATGATAAAATCAAAAGATATACCAAAATTGCAAATAAATCAGAATATTCATGAACTGGACCGATAATTTTTTTTTAAATTAAATACTCTAAAAACAAAGAAATACAAACGGATGAAGCTAAATCAATCACATATATAACTAATTTTGAAACTCATTCAAAATTACACATTAGAAATGATTAATTCAATTTAATATCATTATTTGAACACTACGATGTTTCTTTTATCGTGTTATTACAAGTATGAATATGCTGAAAAATAATATACATACAGTGTCGAAAAGTACAAAATATATGATCCAAAGATTTCATTTTTAAATTCTAAAAATTTGTATAAAAAAATCTCATTCAGTCTTTATAGTTCGATATTGAAGACTATTGTATTTGCTGTAAACTATTGTTGATGTACATAATTTATACTGAAATTTGTGAAATTTGATGTACATATAAAGAAACATAGATATCTTATTTATTAATATATTTGTAAATAATTGTGTACTCAGTATTTAGGTTTCGATATTCAGACATTTGGTATCCAGATATTAATAGATTCAGGTATTTAATGAGAATATGTTAATTGAAATATTAAATATTCGAATGTTGTCGAGCTACATATTGATTTTCATTGAATATATATATATATATATATATATATATATATGTATCTACATATATATATGTATCTACATATATATATGTATCTACATATATATATGTAGATATATTCAATGAAAATCAATGTGTAGCTCGACAATATTCAAACATTTAATATAATATTAAAAATATATTATATATAATATAAATTATTAATTATAAGTCATGTTTTAATACGGATAAACTATCAACTTTCTGTTATAAGGCTTGATACTATACTGAATATGTAAAATGTGAGAAAATATTTAGAAATAAAATTATAAGTATCAAATGCTAAAGGGACTCGGTACTTATGATTATATTTTTAATTTTTATTCAATATAGTGTAATAGAAAGTTGATAGTTTATCCATATTAAGTGATAATTTATAATTAATATTTTATAATTCGCAGATATATATTACTGTAAGAATTCACACTAAGCATGAGTCCTTTCATGGTCTCAAAACGCCTGTATTCTTATGAAATAAAATTTGTTAAAAAAACTGAGTGTAGTGTGTTCATACTTGCATATTATGTATATATATGTATATATATATATATATATATTTATATATATATATATATATATATATATATATATAATATAGCCTGGTTGATACTACCCAGGTTTGTCAGTTGAGTTAAACACCAACTTTACTCGACTCAGGGAAGAATAGTGTGAGAGATTTCCCATAGCCATTCCACACAGCAGTGCCCAATATATATATATATATATATATATATATATATATATATATATATATATATAATATATATCCACATACATATACTTATATATATGGCAAAACATTAAGATTATGTGTTTTGCCCTAAAAATTTTGCCACACATATCACACATCTTAATTTATGTTCCACTCAATACAAAATTTCATATGTATATATATATATATATATATATATATATATATATATATTCATATTCAATGAAAATTTATGTGTATCTTTACATTATTCAATTATTTGGTATTTCAATTAACATATATAAAACTATTAAATATCTGAATCTATCAATAACTAGATACAATTTCCAGACATGAATTATGTTTACAAATTTCAGTATAAATAAATGTACATTAACAATAATTTATGGCAAATACAAGAGTCTTCAACATCGAACTATGAAAAACCCACGTCTGCAATATTTCATTGTTATGAATTATATGAATTTACTAAAATGAAATTTAACTAAATCTTACTTAATTTTAAATACATGAGCTATTGATACCTAAACATTAAAACAAATTCACAAATTTGTCAAAAATAGATTTATAAATCTCACTTCAAAATGTATGAGTTCTACATATTGAATTGTCCGAGTATATAAAACATAAGTCTAAGTTTTGAATATATCATTTGCCTAATTTAAATATTTAGTTAACTTAACTGTAACTAGGATGTTAAATCGAACTTTAAAAAATTCAATAAGACATGTTTTTTATTGAATTGAACAAAATACAATGCCAAATAGCTATGTTTACAATATCATGATCGATATTTAGGCAATGCCTCAATATAAAGTACTCAAGTCTTGTATACTCAGGTATAAAGTATCAAATTTTATAATGTAGAAGTTAAGATAGAAATTTTGAATGAGCTAAACCTAAAACATCATATATTAAATTAAAGATACCTATATAGAACCTAATTCTAGAATACTTAAATCTTACATGTTTTTCTGAAAAATAAAGAGTAGAAAATGAAGACAAAATTATTAAGTATGAGCAAAAAATTTGTCACTTTAAATTTGTTTATTTAAAAGTTGCGTGTTTTACATCATTATATCAATTTTTACACATCTAATTCATTTTCAGTAGTGATATTTACACAAAATTTACATTTTTTTTTTGGATTATATTATCATTACATTATATTTTATATAAAAATGCAATTTTTTAATCAAAATATTGATATGCCAAATATAAAATTTTATATATAATAAAATTGTCCATAAATATATCCTCTCACAATAAGGTAAAATAATTACTAGAATTTCAAATGCATAAGTTTAAAAATACTTATTGATAAAGAAAGTCGTTTCATGCGACAAATTACTTGATTTATGTTTTCACGTCGATTTTTCTAAACTTATATTCCAGATGTTGGTTACAACGTTTGTATTAAGTCTGTTTTCTACTTAAATTCTATGTGAATGTATATAAGTTCCTTCAACTGAAGGAAAAATTAATTAAAGGGATAAGACATGAAGTGATATTCTACTTAAAAAAATATTTTGTATTCATAACGTTACATAACAATGTTTGATTATCCATATTAGAATAATAAATTATATAAAGCATTTTTCAGGTAAGAAAACATGCTATTACGTTTATATTTTAATTACTTTTAATTTTAAATTATAATATTTTTCACTTCATGTCAATATTAATTACTAGTACAAATATTTATAAGAGTAAAATTTAGCCAATTAAAGTAAGTAAAATAATTAAATCTTCATTCGACTGTTACAGACTTTGCCAAATTACGAGGACAGTCCACATTGCATCCACGAAGTACAGCAATGTGATAAGATAGCAGTTGAAGGGGTATCACGGTCAGGACACCCTAAAGGCAAAAATAATATTGATTAATCATGTAATTAATAATTAATTAGACTAATATTATATATAATTTTGAAACTTGAGGCTGCAAAATCTGTATATTTTTGGTTTGATTTAGTATTAATTTAAAACTAAATATTGTACTTGGCTGCTGTAAGATAGCAAATCATTCTCCATTTCAGTCATTTTAGTGATCAGAATATTTACAAAATAAAACAAGGATGTAAGAAAAAAAATTGATAAGAGGAAATAATATCCTAGAATAGCACAAATACAGAAACACAAATATAATTGAAAGCACTATGATAAAATGACAAACTATTACAACTTAAAGATTATCAATCTGATGAAGTTACTATATCGGAAACACACTAATAAAAACAGTGTAAGTACATTTGATTTTGATTTTGATTCAAAATTTTGAATTCAAGTTAAAAATTGGTAGAAGTATTCTCAAACAAAGAAAAAAAGAATGAAGAACAGATAATTCAGAAATATTATAGTTAAAGATTGGCATATACAGCAAATTCAAATGCAAAATATCATCTTAGTATAAAAGCAAAAACTCTTATCAGTACTGATTTATATCCTAAAGTACTGTTATTTAAAATTTTCAATTTTTAAACTTCACTTACGTTTTATTCACCAAATATGCTGAATTTTAATTTTTTTCATATTGTATATTTATTACTCTACATACCTGCAAACAGTCTACTGTTTTGGGAATCTCCAAAACTTTGGAAGAGAAGCTAATAGTCTCAGCATCACCTTCTTCACAGATAATGATTGGCTTTCCATCTCTAGCTGTAACTTGTTGCATAGCGTTCATGCATTTGTTGTAGACTGGATCACGCATAATAATCATCATAACTGGCATAGAATCATCTACCAAAGCTAAAGGACCATGTTTGAGTTCACCGGCCATAATACCTTCACTATGCATGTAGGTCAATTCTTTCACTTTCTGTAAAATTAATACAAATAATAAAATACAGAAATGATAAATAATATAAAAACCATATCCTGGGCAAGAGAACACTCGAATTGCTCAATTATGAATGGCAAAAATAACTAATAAATTATATTCCTGAATTAGATGTACACTTGTATGTTACATTGGCTACTGACCAATCGAAACTAAACATACAGTAGCACATAATAATTATGAAATACATCTTTTAGCAAAATTTTAGTAAAATGGTATAGTTATTTATTACTAACCAATGCTCCCTCCATACATGTGGCAAAATTGTATCCTCGTCCCATGATCAATAAAGACTTCTGTTGGTATAAATCTCTAGCTAATGCCAATACTTTATCGTCAAGTTTAAGAACTTGTCTAATCTTTTCATCAATGTGCTCGAGAGCTTTTATTATCTGCAAATAAATTTAAGAATGCATAAATATATCCAAATGTGATATAAATTTAACAATAATTGTTATATTAAATATTCCATTATCACATTAAATGCCTGTAAGATTTAATTTAACATCATTAAATGCCTGTAAGATTTATGAATTTAGAATCTTTTTCCCCTTTTACCTCAAGGCGTCTAGCTTCCAAAGATTTCCTGTCTTCACTCATAACCAGAGCAAACATGACCAAAGAAATAAACTGAGATGTGTAAGCTTTGGTGGAAGCAACACCAATTTCAGGTCCAGCGTTTACGTGAACACCACAATGGGATTCACGACAAATGGAACTACCTACTGTATTGGTTATTCCAACAATAAGAGCTCCACGCTGCTTGCAATATCTAGAAATATGAAATTGCATTAAGAATTAGGTCAAAAAAAAAAAAGATTAAATACTATATAAAATCATGATATTCTAATAATTTTGCCAATAAAGTGAACAGCATTTTTGTACCATTTTATTTTTTCTTGATAATAGAAAGAAGCCTGTTCAAGCCAGAAAGGCATTAATTAACTTTAATTCGGAAGTTATACCAAGTTCTGAAAAATCACTTGGATTAGTTGGCAAAACAGTAAATAACATTAAATTAAACTGTTGGAGGACCGCTTGAACAGTTGGTTGAGAGATTTTTACCTCCAACTGCGTCAGATAACATATTTATTTTCCTACCAACCCAATAAAGCATTTGATATATCAATATTATCACCTGAGAGCCATAAGTGTATCGGCTGTCTCTCCTGATTGCGAAATGAAGAAGCACACATCGTCCCTGAACACAGGGGTATTTCTATCCAAAAAATCAGAAGCCAATTCAACCATGACCGGTAATTCAGTCAATTCTTCCAACAATTGTCTGGTGGCTACAGCGCTGTGGTAACTGGTACCGCATCCTATCAACATCAATCTGCGGCATCTTTTGATTTCTGGAATATATTCTTTGATTCCTCCCAAAGTGACTGTTTGATTGACAAAATTCAATCGGCCTCTCATGGTGTTGACCACGGATTCGGGTTGTTCAAAAATTTCCTTCTGCATGAAGTAGTCGTAGTTTCCTTTCATAATCTGCTGGATTTTCATCTTCAGTGTGTGGATTTCACGAGCATGGGGATCGTCGACCAATTTTCGTAGACGATGGATGGACAGCTTTCCTTCTTTGACGGCTGCGACGTCATCATCCTAAATGAAAAATAAAGTTCTTATTGAGAAACTATGTTAAATTATCAATCGCAAGGGTAAAATAATATACTCCAAGATAATTTGAAGCTTTCAATTATATACAAGAAATATAAGGTTTTTATGGTAAAATGATTGGTTATGATCAAATATTGAGATCAACCTCGGCCAACGTTCTTAGTAATTACACCAGGACGGAGTCAATAAACAATTAGATTTAAACATTTTCTAAACGGCACTGACAATGGCATTATTTTTCATATGATCTTTCGTTCCGTACTAATTTCAAAATCAAAGTATTTGGATGGATCAAAAGATTTCAGTTGAGAATATATACTTGCACATCAAGTGGAAATTTGATATCATACTGCTTAATATCGAGCTGCCCGAGGTTGGGATCAAACCTGGAAATAGTTTGTGCTAGCCAATGTTCTTAGCCATTACACCAAGGCGGACTCAATTTAGCACTAAATAAACAATTAGAGTTGAAGATCTTTTAAATGATCAAGAATAGGTATTTTTCATATAATCTTTAGTTCCGTACCTATTTTAATTTTGTCCATAAAATTATGACCGAGGAAAATTTGAGTTATCCAGTACAAAACGAGAAGTTCAAGACATTATCTTCAAGTTCAAGACTTGAGCATTTTGTAGATTTTAGGATAAAAAAATCTGTAAATATTAGGAAAATCGTTTTACAGATTAAAGTATTTGGATGGATTTGGATCAAAAGAATTCACTTGAGCATATATTTTTCCAGCTCAAGGGAAAATTTGATATCATACTGCTTAATATCGAGCTGGCTGAGGTTGGGATCGATCCTGGGACTAGTTTGTGCTAGACAACGTTGTTAGCCAATACACCAGGACGAACTCAATTTAGCACTAAATGAACAATCAGATTTAAAAAAAGTTTTGAATGGCACTGTACTAATTTAAATTTTGACCATGAAAATACAACCGAAGCGAATTTGAGTTATCCAGTACAATATGAGAAGTTGAAGAAATTTGATTTTAGCAATTTTTAGAAATCGTCACTGATCATTGAAAGTTCTTACCTCGAAGTATATGACGCGGTTGGTGTGCTCGATGACTGCAGAAGCATCTGATGCGAAGAAGTACTCGACCTCCTTGTCCTCGAGTGGCTGAAACTCGGATGTGCTCTCGGACCTCGGCAAAACTGGAACATCACCGCGCGCTAGGCCATGAGGTCTATGCTCTGTTGTGTACCACCGACACCCGAACACAAAAACCCATTTGCCATAATGATATAAATCGTGTATGCGACTATCACACTTGATAACATTACACCAGGCGATAAAAGGCGCGGCGTGTTTATGTGTGTTATGTCATCGGAAGTGTTGTGTTAGCCTGATAAGTGATACCCAAAGAAAGACAACATCAAATGATAAAGGATATATTCTATTGATTGTGAAAACTAAGGAAACAAAGTAGAGAGATTAGGGTGGATAAAACTACAATTGGAACTGAACTCATGAATTGAAACTTGATTTTAAGGAAGATATACCGATTGACAACTTCATAATACCCAAAGAAAGACAACATCAAATGTTAAAGTATAAAATTCTATTGGTTGTAAAAACTAAGAAGACAAAGTAGAGTGATTGGAGTGAATGGAGCTACAATTGAAACTGAACTCATGAATTGAAACTTGATTTTAAAGAAGATATACCGATTGACAACATCTTAATATTCAAAGAAAGACAACATCAAATGCTAAAGGATAAAATTCTCTCGATTGTGAAAACTAAGGGGACAAAGTAGAGAGATTGGGGTAAAACAAACTAAAATTGAAACTGAACTCATAAATTGGAACTTGATTTTAAGGAAGATATACCGATTGACAACATCATAATATTCAAAGAAAGGCAACATGAAATGATAAAGGATAAAATTCTATTGGTTGTGAAAACTAAGGAGACAAAGTAGAGAGATTTGGGTGAATACAACTACAATTGGAACTAAACTCATGAATTGAAACTTGATTTTAAGGAAGATATACCGATTGACATTCGTGAGGGCCAGGGAGAAGTGACGTCAATGTACAGATAAAATCCTCAATATGTCAGATCATTTATTGTTGGAGCCGTAATCAAATGCATTAACTAATGCAAATGCAGAGGATAATACGTTAATACCAAAGCTCGTTCCCAAAACTTCAATACAAAAACTTAAAGTTGAAGTCGAACTTGTTCTAGAAGTTGGAATTTAGAAGTAGAAGTCGGTTGGATTTGATAAGAATGTCAGTTGATTCAGCATCAATTTATTAAGTTCAACTGTGTAAAAAAAACTTGAATTCACGAACAAATATATATTTACCGAGAAACCACCGCCATCAATATTATGCAAAATGGTTTTCCACAGTTAATAATTCCGAATTATCTTCATGCGGTTAATCCACACTTTTGGTAATCTAAATAATATATACCATTGTGTTTCTAACGTTTACTTTCATTGAGTTCTGCTGAAGAAAGTCTAAAATATCTATATATCCAGCGCAATTTCAAGAAGTAGAAAGTAAAGAATCGTTAGTTTGTCCACTTGAGAATTTTCAAAGAAGGTAAATATTGATGTAGACACACTTGGGACTTTTTCTGTCTGGCAAAAAACAACAATATATCTAAAGCTCTAGATAAAATCAATGTCTTTGAAATGTATTTAACGTTCATCTTGGGGTATAACTTATAAGGCAACTCATAAGAGAAAAGCCAATCTTTTCCAGATGTATACATAGATGGATATAAGGTAAAAGCTATAATTATTTCGATTTGGATATTTTAATTATTCAAATAGATTATTGAATCCCGAAAAAATTGGCATGTCTCTTAACAGTATAATATATTTAAATTAGATTCAAGATCCCAAATTCAATTGAATATTGTTCTATAAATATTGAGATCTTAAATGATAAATTACATCAGATAAAGTTCATTTATTGCATTGAATTGAATTTCTTTTATTCTGATGTAATTTAAATCCATACCGCAATTTTAATTTGCTCTGAACATCAGGAACATTTGAAACGTCCAAAAAGAAGAACAAGTTAAAAAATATGTTTAATATATGGTTATATAAGTTCACATTTTTTTCAAGATTTCAATTTTGATATAGTTTCTTCAGTTCAGATGCAGTGCAAACGGTAAGTATATCATATTTTTCATATTTATGAACGCGATGATTTTGACAAAATAATTTTCCTGCATTAAAAAATGTAACTACAACAGAAGCAATAATTTGATTTATTTGACTAACTAAAAATGCAGAAAAAATATTTTGCAATACGTTCATAAACCAAATTACAAAAGGCAATATATACACAAGGCACTTATAGTATTACAGCCAAACTGAATGAATCTGAATATATTAAATTAAAATAAATTTTTATATATATTACAAATTAATAAAACGTGATAAAATTTGGCTAGAAATTCAGTCTTTGTTTGGCGTATCAAATATTTATATACATTATAAAGTGAAAGATTTTAGGAATTTCGGATACGATATCATGAATACATTTGCAACATAAATTTAATAATAAAAACAATAAATGTAAAACAAATGAATACTCATAATAAATAAAATTTTAACACGATCAATGATTGTGAAATTTGTAAATGAAGGAGTCAAATACAGAGCAGACGTTATTTTCATTTATCAAAAAAAAAAAAAAAATACGAATGCAAATATTAAACACAAGTATTTTAACGTAAATTTTATGAATTTAGCATAACATTTAAAATAATATTATATATGCATATTTATATAGGTAATACCTTCACCACATTTAAAAGACTATGAAAAATCATTGTTAGAAAAATAAAGTACAGATAAAAAAAACATTTTGAAATTATTAAATAAATATTAAATAATGTACTAATAATCGTTGAAAATATTAGCATATTGCATATTGTTCAGTAAGATTTTTTAACGGCTACAAAAAATAATGCTTTTGAAATTTTATACACGTTTATAGTTATTTTTCAAACAATTTTACAATTTGATTTTTCTTTATAGTGCAGCCAAAAATATCCATACTTAAGAATTTAATATATAAAGATCTCTTAAATATTTTGATTAATTATTAATTATTGATTGAAATTGAATTGAATAAATAAATTGATCATAAAAATAATAAATAAATAAATAACTTGATTAATTTATAATTTAAGTCTATAGATAAAGTGTTAAAATTAGGAATGTATTCTTAAACAATCGTCGTAAAAATGCTTAAGTTCCCTTTTATAAAAAAAAATTAATAAATTTTTTAACTAAAACAAGTGAAAAAATTATTCCGGTGTTGTCTGATGTACTATATAAAGTAAGGTCAATTTTACAAGAATTGGACGCATTTTTCATTCATCAACTAATTATTATTTCAATTATAACTGCAATGGAAAACAGAAAAACTAGGATTTTATATCCAAATTGTAAATTTTCCAACAATGATTCTCCATTACTAATAATGTTAAGAGTTAATATTCCACATATCTTCGGGGCTCTAACTAATGTTAATTGGCAACAAATCTGAAATATATTAGCACGAATTTGTATTTGTATTAGCACGAAATGATTTGATGTTTGGCACATATGAATGATTTATTCATCTGACTCCTTTGGGTCCACAATCTACCTATAGTTAAATGTGTATAATATAAGGTATGTAATGTATAGTATTCTGGCTGTTTGTCTGACTAGAAGCGTCGAAACTACGATAACCTGTAACCCTGAAAATTGTTAGCGAAGCAAACGATTTGCGATGTGATCTTTTCACTAAATTAACTAACTAAGACATACTATTTTCATTGATAAATGAAATTTATTAATTAGCAATGAATATTGCTATGTAGTTTTTAAGAAAACAGAATGAGGGCACACTAAAAATTCAACTGGAACTGTTCATTCGTGAATTTGGATGAAGTCAGAAGACCATGTAATAAAATCAGTGATTTATTAAGTGCATTATTATTCAGTGCAAAGTTGGTGAAAGTTCCTAAACTAAATATAAAATATATAAACAAAACTGCAGCAACGGATATCCCAATTTAAACCGGAAAACATATTTGCAACATATAAATCATAAAAATATACGTTTGTATGCGGTGAATTTCGATTGTTAAAAATAGATTTTCCTGTTTGTATTCGCATAGTGTATTAATTTCTATATTTATTAAGGGCAAATTCAGATCTAGAATTAAAAAAAAAACGATTTTATATTTTTTTAAATATATTTTCAAATTTGACTATTCAAGAATAAGTTTATAAGAGAATTTCCAAAATTTCAATTATTTTCGGAGGTATAGCTGTTTGAACACGACCATCCTCCTCTGTTACTTTAATCGCGTTTTTCTCGAAACTCTTTTTGTTTAGATACGAAACCCACGATTTCTCAACTTCTACTCGACCGATTTATATAGAGTCTTCTTCATAGACCTCTCTTCAGTATGAACTACGCTCATCCTCAAATTCCAATTTCAACAATTTTTAAAAAAATCGAAAATATCAAAAAATGTTCTAAAAAATAAAAAAAAAATTTACAGACAGTTGCCGTTTTTGATAAAATATTTTTTTAACTTGTCTTTAGTTCACACGATTGCTGCATCATTCTGAATTCATAAGCACATTGATGAGCCTATTCTCGGTTACACCATTTGTACTATTTGGAGATTAATTTTTAGCAATTGGCAGTATCAAAAATTTGAATTACCGCTCGTTTAAACATGATAGGTATATAGGTGTATAGATAGTTTTATGACTACCAAGATCATCAAGATCCAACATAAAAAATCAAGATTTATCAAAATAAAATAGGTGCACCGAGAATACCAAATCGTCAACAAACCCTTAGGGTATGTATTATGTATCCAATAATCACGTGAGATTATTGGGGAAGGGAGGGAGAGTGTTGACAAAAAAATCACGAAATATCGCATAAGGGAAGGAGGGGTAAAAAAATCAACAAAAGATCCAAAAATTTTGTAGTATGTCTTTTTAGATAATATCGCAAATCGATGCCAAAACGCTACGAGCACGTAACACTATCAATCCCCTGACTGCTATTAGTAATTGTTATTAACAAATACAAATCTAAATAATATGCATTATGTCAGCTGAAGCAAATATAAAAAAATCTTTATAACGGTCTGTACCTTGGAGACTGCTTTTGTCTGCATCTATTTTTCGAGAACAAAAAACAAAAAAACACATGAAAACAAAAAAATATTAGTAACAATAAAGAAATGAATACATAAATTGTATCTTAACATTTGATTAGACAAGACGGAATGATTTGGCGACATGTAAAATTTAACGAAGATTTCACCGAATCAAAATCGGGCATGCAAAAGGTAATTTAGGGGCCAATTCTTGGATAAAGTAGAAATGTTATGGTGATGTTATGTTACGGGTCTATCTTCGTATGAATTGGTAGTAAAGAACTGTCAAAAAGCTGTGTGTTTGCTATGCGATCATGTGTTACACATAAAACCTAACCTACAAAACGCACAAACGTCAATTAACAATTTTATCATAAGTGCAACTTTCTGATATCCTTCCGATAGCACATACATGAAGTTAGGTTTTATGTGCAAAACGCCCAATCGCACAGCGAATACACAGCTTTATACTTATACTTATTTATCTATGCTACAAACTCATACGATGATAGACCCCCTAACATAGCATTACCATAACATTTTTATTTTATCCGAGATTGGCCCCTTAATGTTAAGAAATACAGAGAATAGAAAGTGAAATTTACATACATACGTTGATAAAAATAAAATAATTAAGCACGTGCAAACAGAATTGGTTTGAAATTCATTATCTAGTAACAATTATATTTTGTTATCCTTTTAGGATAGATTTTATCTTCATTTAGTTATCTTTTTAGGATAGTAAAATTATATTAGCTGTAAATTAAAATCACTACGAATTATTGTGTGACGATAACCTTATAGAAATATTTAATTTAGGTGAAGAATATAACTTCTAATTTTAGTTTCTTCAGCATTCCAGATAATGAACTTGAAACCAGTATAACAATTAATAAAATTATTGAAAAAAAAGAATCGCACAAAGTTTTTTTTTTTTTAAATCACAAACATAATATTGGTGTATATTAGTATAGTGAAAGATATCTAGGAAATATGATGAGTTTTTCAAAAAAAAATCTTATGGATATGTAGGAAAATCAATAAAGGAAAATGGAATAGTATCAATACCTTTTCTCATTTGCTGGTCATCTGTTGCAAGAACGGGTTTATAGAGGTCAATTCAAATCAGGCGTCATGAAAGAAAAAAATCAACAAAACGCATGAATGGCCAGGTTAGCAAAATTCCTCTTCGGTCTTGTAATATGAGATAAGATATAATCAAAACATGAAATGATAATATTCCAGATCAATAGCAAATGCATCGAATAGCCGTTGCTTGTACGAGATTTTTTCTAATATCAATTGTTAAAAAATTATATAACATGGTATAATCATATATAATATGGACATAGTGCACCATAAATTTACTTGAGCAGAATAGTACATAATTTTCGAATTAATGAAAAAATCTCGTAGGAAATTGAAACCTAATGAATATTTTTATGAGATTTGAACAAATAATAAACAAAAGAAAGATAATAATATATAAAATATGTATCAAATTTATGATTAAAAATATATAATTAAACTAAAGTAGAATAAAATTAAAAATATAAATCAATTTCATAATTTTGAAATAATGAGATAATTCAAACTATAAAATTATATAATCAAATGATAAGTATGAAAAATTGAGTGCTAAACGCAAATTATACTTTCCATGACATAATTTGAAGTAAATATTCTCTATTTGGAATCAGGAAGCAAGGATTTAAAAATTGGTAATAAAACTGGTCATGCACAGAACCTTCAAGGAGAAAAATTCCGTTTAAAAGTACGAAACATGCAAAGTACCGGATTTTATAGTAAAACCAAAAATTTGAAAGTAAGCAATACTTAAAAGAAAGTGCAAAAATCATTCCTTAATTATTAGAATACTTACAAAAAAAAAACAAAGAGATAAATTACAGTTGTTCCGTATAAAAATAAACATACCCACCAATAAAATTGTGATTGAAGAAACATGTGATAAAAGTCAAGAACCATGTTATTAAACTTAACAGATTGATTAGTGATATAAGTATAAAGTATTTCCAAGTCCTTTTGCAAAACATTTTCATATAAAAGCATGAAATACAAAAATGATAACATTGAAAATAAATAAAACTTATATAAATTAATAATAGTTTAAACAATCCAAGTAAAAGTGAATAATTATAATAAATGCAATAAAAAATATGATCTCAATTCAAATCAATATAAAATTAAAAGTGAATAATAATCATGATATTGTTCGCATTCATCAGAGCGCGACTAATAAACATACCAAATTAATACTTTCATTTTCTGCATATAAATTTTTTACATTTATCAATAATCGAAGCATAATAATTTATTTCAGATATTCAAAAAAATAAATTGATATAATTAATTTGATAAATGATAATTTATTTTATAGACTTTACCTTTTCCGTATAGAATGGGAACATGATCGGTAGCTAAACGAGTTTTCGTTTTGATACCGACCAACAATGGTGAACCTCTCCTGGTAGCCACGCATTCACCAGGGAAATGTTTTGATTTAAAGCACAAAGCGAAGGCACCTTCCTAAAAAGGATATAAAATTAGTCAGAATATAAAATATACAAATTGCTCCCTATCTACTAATCCATTTGTCAAATGATTTTATTATTATACGAGCTTACCAACTGCATAATAACTTGTTCAACTAATTCTCTGAAAGAGTAGGTTGGATGTTCCTTGAAGATGTGATCCACAAGTTTAGCGATTACTTCGGTATCAGTATCGGACTCGAAGCAATATCCTTTCTCTTCCAGGAATTGTTTGACCTGAAATAAAAGAATCAATGAAAATAATTCAAATTGCAATATCAAAACCCATTGAAGATCGTGAACTCTAGGTAACAGATCCTTGGTAGGTAAAAATATATCCAACCAAAGCAAAAAAGTGAATAATTGAAAATAATTACAACAAATAAATTAAATATTAGTTGCAATAGGTACAACATATTTATTTACATCAAATTCAATACAGAATTCGTCGAAAAATAAAAAGAATAATAATCCTGTTTAATCCTGTATACCAATTTACAATCAGATGTCAATTTTTATGACAACGCCCAGTGATGTAGATAGCATGAACAAAATCATAAAACTTAAACTCAATATTCACTTTTTGAAGTAAAACTTCCTGGTGAAGCGCGACTAAGGTGTAAATCCGTACAAATGCAACGGAAGTGCGTTACGGCCGAGTCGAGTGCCAATGATTCGTCATTCGCTCTCGAATATATCATTTCTATACGGGTCGATTGTGATTGGTCTTTGGATTTGTATGCGTGACTTTATACGTGCGTACGTCACCGAAAGCGTGAAGCATATTGTTCATTTTTCAGTGTTTCATGTCATTACATTTTAAGGTTAAATAGTAGTACAAATCTTGAGTTATTAAAAATGTCTGGGTCGGAAGAATATTTTATCCCGTCCCCCATAAATAATCATAGTGCAAATAGTAAAACAAATGCAAAACCTTTGCCGTGTATTATTCGAGGTTTTCGAGGTTATTATATATACCCTTGAGGTTATTACTAAAGTGGAAAATATTTTTATAGGCAAGACAGATACTACACTTGCTCAAAAAATGGGATTATATCGCCAGCAAAAAAGTAAAATAAAATACAACCAGTCAATAAATGTATGTTAATTTTAATTACATAAAGTTCTTCAAACACAATTATTATATGATGAGAGAAATTGTGAAAACAATATTTCTTTAGGCGTTGTTTCACATAATCCACTGTGCGAACGAAAATTTTAAAATTTATTAATTACTTCATTTCTCTAATGAAGGTCCAAGTCCTAAATGCTAATTACAATGACAAACCGATCATTTCATATTTGAAGTATGACTTTAATTACATTATTGTTTTCAAATATTATAAATATTTTTAATGCTATTATAAATATATAATTTATAATTTATTATTATATAAATGAGTATAATGGTTGACACTAATAAATGTGTGCATCACAAGTGTTACCGGTTACCGTATTACTAATAAACATTATTCAAAATTGTTATATGATGTATATATTTACAATTGAAATGCCATCCTGAGATATCAAAAAAGTTTTACTACAATCGCGTGCGAACCTTACGCGCACTCTTTTTTTGTGAAAAGAAGCATCGTTACAAATTCAAAAGCAAATCAATATGATGAATCAAGGACATTTAATTTTCCAAATTCTTCCAAATTTGAAGGTTGATCATCAGCATAAATTGGGAGAACGTCTTCATTTTACGAAGGATGAAACTTACATATTAGTGATTATGAAATACTAAATAATTGATCAGATTCAAACCTCCTTATAATTTGTGACGATGCCATTGTGTACAACGACGAAGGAATGTCCAGCATCCGAACGTTGTGGATGAGAGTTGACTTCGCTGGGAACACCATGAGTGGCCCAACGTGTATGTGCGATACCGACATGGCAATCGGTGGCGGACTCGAAGTCCAATTCTTTTGTTCCTATAATAAACATTTCAATTAACTTAACAAGTATTATAAAGCGGTCTACAAATCATATCTGTGAATAACAATATATCTAATGATAACGCAGACAGTGTCTAATAGTAAGTTATTTTATTACTCATTTCGAATTTGAAACGTGGCACTGCGTTGAGAAATAGCACAATCTACCCTGAGTGGAGTTAGAGATTAACTCTGCTCGCAAAACCTGCTACCCTCTCTGACAGAGCTCCTATTATTCTTGTTTTTTCCTCTATTAGTAAAGTTTACCCTATATTATCCTACTGTAGTGTAAATAGTAGTAAGTGTAAGTGTAATAGTAGTAGTAATAGTCAATATAAATCGTTCTTTTTTGTATATTGTTCGTGCTATATTCAATTTTTGTCATGCCTTCTAACGATATTATTCATTTAAATTAGAGAATCACAAACATATATTGACAAAAACATACTTCTTGAACAAAGAACAATTATCGCACTAATATATAGACAAAATACAAGTAACTGATCAAATCCTTTAGTTCTAATCTCATTTCTAAACAAATATTCCAAAGGCTAATATTTTTATTTTGATTTATAACCAAAAACAGGCATCTCTACTGTTTGTCCTACTTATATTGAGTTTTCAAGTTCACTCAAAACATATTTAAAAAATTCTGTAATTGATATGTATATTGAAACAATCTATATGTTTCAAAATTAAAGTCTATATAAAAAAAATTACAACTCACTGCTCAAAATTTCATCCTGTAATGCCTGAACCTTGCCACTTTTCTTGATAATTGTGATATCTTTATTGTCGGGTGAATCGACAGCAACACCTAAAAAATTAGCATAAATAATTGTACATTTTAACAGCTTACGGTATTTGATAAAAATCGCACATTTGTTTTTTTTAAAGATATCATATCAAACAATGAATTTTTAATCTATTACATTTTCTCAGAAATTTTAGTAATAAGTCAAGTCCAGAATTATGATTTTAAGATAAGCGGAAACATGCATATTTTTGTCGATTCGAATAAACAATAATTAGATAAATATAATTAAATAAAATAATAACAAAATAAAAATGGGTACTAACCGGCAGAATCATATCCTCTGTATTCTAATCTTTTAAGCCCAGTAACTAGCAATTCCAAGACTTCCTTTCTTGATCTAGGCGTCAAGTAGTTCAAATAAGCAAAAATACCTGTAAGAAAAAAAAGATTAATTAAATGTTTGCTTTGGTTAATTAAATTGATTTATAAAGTTAATTATTACATATCACCACATATTAAACAAACATAAGGGACAACTAGTTGTAAATGGCATTTTGCCTTAAGGAAATCGTTAGCTGATAATCGTAAATCATTTAATGATCTGAAAGAGTCAAGAATTAAAAAAAGTTTTTTTTCATATCTTCAGAGCTTAACTTTAAAAATAAGTGTACAACAGGAATTTTCAAAATTTAATTTATTTACGAAGATATAGCTGTTTGACGATGATAATCTTCCTCTTTTTCCTTGCCCAGCAAAATTTTAATTGCGTTTTTCTCGAAACATCCTTTTTCGATACCATACCCACGATTTCTCAACTTCTACTGAACCAATTTATTTGAAATTTTTACAGAGTCTTCTTTATAGACTTCTTAGCAAACTTCTCAAATTCCGATTTTAATAAATTCGAGAATATCAAAAAAAAAGTTAATTTTTGTGTTCAGACAGTCGCTATTTTGTAAAAAATTGTTTTCAACTTGTCCGTAGTTCAAATTAATATGACATCATTCTACATTAATAACCTTTTTCCATTTTCTTATCGGATTATTTAGAAGACAAAAACCAGGGGTATTGCCACGTGCCAATTTTTGGAGACCCCCACTTCATGACCTTTTAGAAATAATATTTTACGACTATTTTTAATTTCTACTTCTGAATATTAAATTCACAAAACATTAATTAGTAACTTGTAAATAAAATTAAAAAAAGAAAAATGTTTGCCTTGTTCTACGGCTATTCAAAAATCGCATAAAATTTATGCCTTTAGACCAGAATACACCCTTAATCACTTACAGAATTACATTACTATTTATCAGAACATTTTTCAACTTCCCGTACGGTAAGTTATAGTAATCGCAAAAATATCGAAGATGAAAATTTTAATATATCTTTACGTTTCAGAGGTTTCTGAACATTTTGATATATATCTTAGAAAACATGGATTTTGTGTATGTATATGCGTATGTGTGTGTGAGTGCGTGCGGATACAAATTTTCGTCGACGATTTCGCGAACACGAATCAACTGATTTGAATAATTAAAAAAACATTTGATTGCTGCTGATAAGGAAACGTGCTGATTAGTTTTTGGCAAAGGCAGGTCTACTCGTTTCAAAAATACGGGGCAAAAAGTGCCAAAAATGGTATTTCAGTTTTTGAGATAATGGAGCGTCCGATTTAAATAATTCAAAGAACATTTTACTTGTATTGACGAAATGAACAACTGGTGAAATTTTTGTAAAATGCAGCATGGTTGCTTAAAAAATTGTTCATATATTTAAAAAAAAACAAAATATAAAAAAAAAAACAAATTTCTAATTCAAAAATCTACTTTTTTCAAAGTTTAGCAAAGTTTTTTAATAACTTAGTTTTCGGTACGGGAAGTTCTAGCAATTTGCCTTAAGGCACGATGGTGACCAATAGTTTTTTTTATAATAAGAAATAGAATCTCTATAATCTCTAACAAGCCGTACAAAATGTCAAAACGTTTCACAAAGACACTTTCTTCATGACATTTATCCGTGCGGAATAATAAACGTTATTTCAGAGTACGGAACCGGTATGCGGAGGTCCGATGTGCGAGCTTCAGGTCTGTCTAGGTCAAGTTGCAGGTCGCAAGAGAGAGACTACTTTCGATTAACCTTGAGGAATAAATATACACATAATCCGCAAAACGCACAATGTCATTTTTATTTCGGTTAATTATCAGTGCAGTTTCCAAATATTATGACAAAATTGCAACCGGTGAGGTCAAAAAGCGAGATCGTAGATTTGCATTTGATTAACATTGAACTTTTGTAGTTAATACATTTTTTGATTTACGATATGAAGAATAGGTCTGTGAGTCAAACTCCAACTCGATTCAAGAATAGTGTGATAGATTTCCCATTGCCATTTCACTCCGCAGGGCTCAAAATGAACTATGGTAACATATTTAGAACTATATTTTCAAGTGAAACTAGACATCGCCGATGCACGATGTCAGATTGTCCAGAGCGGGATCCATACTCATGACCCAGCATGAAAATTTTTTCATGCTATTTCCATACAAAACTTTGATTGAATTACGCACCATCTAAAAAACAATATTAAGAGCTAAAACTTTGAGAGAACTGTTTTTTATCAATTTGGAACCATTTGAGCCCTTGGGAGCAAGAAAATTCGAAAATGTCCATATTAAGGACCACCCTAATATATATATAATATATTTTTTTATTCACTTAAAATATATTTTATCAAATATATAAGTAGTCTTGGCCATTATGTGGCACCACAATAATGTTCCTTATATTTTAATAAAAATATGAACATTTATAAGGCATTTATGTCATTATCAAACATTATCAAAGATATATAAAAAAGGTGTTCCAGAACTCAACGGTAAGCCAAAATATGGTGCTAAAATTGACCTTAACTGTCATGAAAAATAACTAGAAAAAAATTGCATGTAGTTTACTAGAGTGCTTTAAGTGCTTACTAAGCTTTTTAGAGCTTTGGTGAAACTGTGAACATTTTTCGGTTATTGTGATTAATTGAAATAAATTTTGTTCATCTAAACTTTGGATCCGTAACCGTAAATAACATTTTTAAAAATAGGGACTAATTAAGACTTTATGTTGAACTATGAATTTAAATTTTTCAAAATTGCATACTTTGAAAGGCCCCTTCTGTAAAAAAAATGTATTGAATTGTGTAGGTAAGTTTATTCAAAAGTTGGCACATTTCATCAAAATTGCAAAATTTAGATTAAATTTACACAAATTTCTCTATAATTGAAATTATTATAAATTAATTTTTATTTTTGAGCATCAATCAGAAATAATGACACAATTGCTCCAAAATTTTAAGAATTTAAACTTGGATAAACCATAAATCTAAAAAATTTCAAAATTGGTTTACTCTGGAAATGCCCTTCTTTGAAAAATGTACTAAATTGTGTTGACAATTTCCATCATAAGTTGGCACAATTTATCAAAATTGCAAAATTTAAGTTAAATTTACACAAATTTATCTATGTATGAAGTTATTAGGACTTTTGAACGCCAATGAGAACTCAGCAGTGCAATAAGTTGTTTTGCTCAAACTTTTAGAGCTTTTCAGATGGCAAACCTACATTTGACCATTTCTATAAATGATGTATTTTTATTGTTAGAATTTATCTAGTAGTAATCATATAAATATTATTTAATTAGATGCAGTTAAAAATAATATGGGCTCTTTTTACATATTTTGAACCTATAATTCCAAGTAAAAATGGGTTTGATTAGATTTGATACAGTTTTTATTAGATTTGTTGCTTCATCTGAATTATTTTACACGAAACTGAGTATTTTTAGAGAAACCTATTCCGGCACTGATCTCTTTATTTAAATAATGATAATTCCTACAGTTAAATTTTTTCCAATTTAAAATACAATATAAGAATTATACAATATTATGTCACAATTAACATACTTTCATTTTCTCTTACATAAAAATGTTGCAACAACCTCTGTGACCTGTTATCTTATGTGTTGTTCACTGACCTAACACATTAATGACTATGCAATTATTATTAAATATAATTTATATTTATTTTTGCCAACATGCAAAATAGACAGACAAATTCCAATAAGTGTATGAAATGAAGCAGCGACGAAACTCTGGAAATTTTGCTAGTGTATAAATTCTTCGTGCAAATTATCAGCAAAAAATACAAAATTTTTATAAAACTCACACAAATGTAGAAAAATTTATGCACATACATAATTACAAAGAAACGCATAAATACTAACATATAAACGACTGACATTTACACCATGTCTTGGGATATCTGTAGCTGATGTATTATTTACTAGGCAATACATAATTTATTATGAATCGAACGAAAAAAAAGCTAGAAGCGGTTCCGCAACAAATTTCAAATATCAAAAGTTAAAACATGGGTTGTGAATTTTTATAGATCAAGTAATTCCAGCCAGCTGGCAATATTATAAGCAAAATGTGAGAATTCAATGTGCCGATATACGAGAAAGAAACGACAGTAAAATATCAAGTTAGAAATGTATCAAGGAAACTTCATGCAAAAATCTTTTTTGCCAAAATTCCAGAAAATGACACTATTTTTTGTCGTGAATGTTTTTTAATGTAAAACGTAGCGTTCTACCAAATTGCTTATATCAGACATACATATCTGATATGGATCATGTAGAATTCCTTAGCGTCAGATACATATGACTGACATGGCGATTAAAATATTGAAGACAAAATGTTACAAAACACATACTAAAAATATTTATCGTTAATGTTAGTGTCATAGTTTTACTAAAATAACTAAACGCATAATTTATTAATTGCCACAACTATAAATAGTTATTAGTTTTTGCATATATTTTTTTAAATATTTAAGTTTTTCCCATGAATTATAATTTCTATATTTATTTATTTAAAAAATCTGATTGCAAATTTTAAACACTGCCGATAAAAAGTACTGTGCGTACAATTTATTTTTATTTTATAAACAAACTTCAGTTTTTTCCGATATATTTAATTGTTTATAAACAAACAATTATTTCGAAATGTACATTTCCTATGAGAATGCAGTGGAATTTTGTGCAAGGATTATCAAATATTTAACACATGGTTGGTTTATTAAATAGCATTGGAATGTTTTATATTGTAAGAAAAATTAATTATTAGTGGGAGAATTAAAAAGGTTTTTTTTTACTCATTTTTTTTATTATGAAACTATAAAATATTTTACCATTTTACAGATTAACTGCGCCAAATTTTGACAAAACTTGCCAACATACTTCAGTACATTTTTAATAAAGGATGGTCTCTCAAAGTTGATCAATTTTGATAATTTTAAATTAATAGGTCAACAAAAGATCTTAATTCTTGAAGACATGAGACCATCGTGCCATTATTTTTAACTGTGGTCCTAAAAATGTTATT